CTAACATTGCTTCGAGACGACGCATCCGTTCTTCTTGTGCAGCTTCCTGTTGGTAGTGCCGCTCTCGTTCTTCGTTCTGTATAGCCTGGGTCTGTGCTAACTGCTGCAATAGCGTCTACGCCTACCTAGGAGGGCTCGTCGATTCCTGGTGCTGTATAGCTGCTAGGGGTTATGTAGCGTGCCGGTAATGTGTCGGTCGCTTTTCGTCTAATGTTCTAATATGCCTAGGAATTGCGATCTCCTAAGGCTTTCCAATACGTCTCGAGCGCTAAGAGTTTTATGCGCGAGGATTCCGTTCTAATCGCTGTTCGTCACTGAATCACTAGAGATTTAGGGGGCTTTCTAATGAGTGCCTAGGTCGCTTTCCTAGGGCTTTTCCAATAACTAATGATACTTCTAAGTGTAGAAGAAAGCTTTTTGTATGTGAAGGGCTGAAGTAAGACTTGATTCAATCTAACTAGGCCAATATGCTGTTTACAAAAAGCTTAAGGAGGGGAAGTTTATCCTGCGCGTTCTCTACGTCAACATGCTAAGGTCTCGTGATACACGTGACCTATATCGGGCACTGGCCCGTGATAAGTAATACGGCGCGATTAGAATAGGGCTACTAGTAGATTGCCGCGGTCGCGGAGATTCCGGGACGGGACGATCCTAATATAAACATCCTTTAGCTTATGTATTAGTGGTTATATAATACACGCAATAGGCGCTAGCTAATAGTGTTAGATAATACGGATGACGATAGTATTTTTTTCCGTAGTGATATTACGGAAGGACGAGCGCTAGTAGTAGCTTTTCTGCCCTAGGTAACCTATAGATCTATCCTAGTCATATCACGAAATAGTCTTACGGCACGGAATCTAGTAGGTAGAGTGCGCCAAAAACCGCAAAACCGCAAAATCGAACCAACCCAAACCGTAAATAGGTCGGTTTTTGGGGCTAATACTAGAAACCATTATGGTTTTTGGTTTTTTAGGTTCAAACCGCAATGGTTCTTAGGGCCCCAATGGGTTGTTAAACTAAACAAACTAGGCGGGTCCTTGTCATTGCATATTTTGTGTAGTTTTGCTCTGTTTCTCGGGGTATTAAAATTATAGATAGATGACTTTTTCGATAATCTACATTTTGAACGTACGTGAAATAACTTCTTTACGCTATAGCACTATATTTATGATAGCCGGCTAATTTAGGTTTAACTCGCTATAGTATTCATCGCTAATAATACGTATATAGATCCTTATCACGTCTGATCCGTTTCCGAGCTCGTACTGAAGCACGTATCTGAGTTCTTTCCTCCTGATTTAAAGGAAGAGGAGGGTCGTTATCATGATCGATCATAACTTGTATCTCTTCCTCTTCCTCTTCCTCTTTATGGGTTTACTCTTCTTCCGTATCACTAATTAGATCGACGCTGACTATATCGGGCGTGCTTTCCTTCTCTTCCTTTGACGCTTTAATCTTATCGCGAGTGAAGAACTCCTGTAGGAACTCTACTTATTCCTCCGCGATCTCGAACTTTAAAGTATAAAGAAATATTATTAACTCCTATATAGTTATTGCACTTAATCTTCCACGGCGATAATGATATATATCTCGAGTAGTATTGAATAGTCGCTTAATACTAGCACTAGTCGTAGGGACTAAAAGTATATCTCGTATAAGGGCTATAAGAGTAGGGAAACGATAGGCATTCTCCCTCCAAAATACTAAAGGCGATATATCTATAGTGGCTTATAGGTAATTAATATCATATCTAGTAAAGCGGTTAAGAATATATATCACTATTAAGATATTATAAAAGCTTATCGCCTACTACCTTATAGCGGGGACGTTTCGGCTTAACTATCGAGTTAAGACGCGATATTCCTCCCCCCGACGAAAGAGATAGAGGAGATATTTATTACTAGGTAAGACGTTCTTTATATATAATTAGGTGGTTCTCGAGAGACTTCCGGTATATCGTACGCTAACGATTATCCTAATTATCTGTTTGAAAGAACTAGAACTTATTCGCTGGAGTAAGTATAGTGGTGATTACGTAAAGATACCCTCGTACGTTATCTATCTTAGAGTAGTACTTATTAAGCTTCTTTCGAGTAGCTTATAACGCCTAAAGTATCTGTCGCTTCTAGGTAGTTCTCTTCCGCGTAAGCTAGGTGATTGATAGCTTAAGGTGCTTAAAAAGCTTATTATAAATCAGAAAAACATGATGTGTGGTCGCATCCCGCGTTTTTGATAGTTTAACTATAAAATCAAAGAAGGGTTAGGTGATAAAGAGAAGGTAGTTAACCTAGCGCTATTCTTTATTATCGAGGACTATATTAGGCCGCTTATACTTATCATAGAATAGCTAGAAGAACGATCGTAGGCGCTTTATACGTCGAAGTATTAGGAACGTGGAATTCTAGCGTGTCTTAATGTCTTAGAGTGGCATTAGCTTTATGGTTTCGCCTTATAGATTATAGAAGGTCTCTCGGCGTTAAGGGCTTATATTTATATAGATAGTAAGGTTTCGAATCTAGAGGTAGTGATTAGTATAAGAAAATAAACGCCACGTTATATAGGTATATACCTTAGATAGTGTGTTAGTAATATCTTAGTTATATTCGCACGAGCTAACTAGGATCGCTACTCTGTCTACCGTGTCTCTATTGATTTATTCTACGGGTAAGCCTTAATATACCTAAGAAGCTTATTTAGACTTAGCTAAATTATATAAGTAAGGTATAGAACCCGAATAAGGGTAGTGTCCTCTAATATTACTTACTATAATGTATTAACTAATATTTAGTTATTTAATATATTATCGGTTGTAATAGCGAAGACCCGATCTTTAATCTTATGTTTAAGAAGAATATCGAGGAGTATAGTACTTAAGTTAGCCCTAGAGTGTAATCTATAAAGCGGTTCGAAACCGAGAAGAACCTTACGGTATTATTAGTCCTTATTAATAAAGTAGCTAGTTATAGCTATAAATACCTATATAAAAGGCGAGGTCTAGTAATCGAGCGTAATTAAGATCTTTGTATTATCCGGAAGCGTTCTTAGGATATCTTCCTATTGTTGTTATACGGAGGATTATAGGCGGCGTCGTATAGTCTTTGCTAAAGGGATCTTAGGGACCTTTAGCGGGACTAGGCTATCTAGATTAAACGATAAAACGTAGAATGCTTAATTAGCCGAAAAGGGAGACGCGCGACCGTAAGAAGTGTAAGAAGCTCTCGCTCCTATTTCTCTTAACTAAACTCGTCGGCGATCGGTATATTCTTACCACAAAAGCTAGTAATTAGATATAAGTAATTTAAGATCTTAAGATAAGGAATATACCTTTAGCTGTAGAAATCGTGTGATATTCGACCGCTTACCCTAGGAAGCTCTAATACAGCCTACACTTATAAGGTGATTCTTTATGGTTGAGGTTCCTTAACGCTGTTTCCTCCTATCCTTTATTATACGGGCGAAGTTTGGATACTTAAGAATTTATCTATAGCGCTTACACATAACCTTTGTAGTACTATCTAAGCTATAGGCGACCTAGTGAAAAGTATCCTATATACTAGACTGATGTTTCGCGTCCTAGGGTATATGGCCCTTCTTACTAAACCCTATCTCGAGCTACTAGCTTACCTAGTTATTATAGAGTATTTCGTCGTATAGAATATAGGCCTTCTTGCGATTAGGGCTAATACGCGTAAGCGATAGAGGGATTATAGGGGGTAGGGACGGTCGGAGGAAATCCGTATCGAAGGAAGGTAATGTTTCCTGACTCTTAGATAGATTAGGCGTAAAAGGATAATTACGAGGAGTATAATTATCGAAATCGCTATCGTAGATTAACGAGGAGAACGGAGATTACTGGTTTTGAGATATAATAAGATCAAAAATATAGCTACTAATGGTAAATGCTAAGAGGGAAGAGTCTGACTTATATAAATTATAAGGATTCTATATAGACGCGACCGATAAATAAAGGATCCCTAAGTGAATTAATATATCGCGATTAAATAATTAAACTAAGCCGCTAATTAGATAATAGTAGCTTACTATATAGGTCAAACCTATTTTAAACTACCAGAAACCGTAATAAACTATTATGAACTATAAGAAACTATTAATAAACCATAAGAAACCATTAATAAACCGTAAGAAACTATTGAACTTTTTTCCGCCGAAAAACCATCTCCTTTGTGACTGACCTAGCTAGTATTTCTCTACCTAAGGTAATAATCTAGTGGCTAGGTCTATTTTTAGGTAGAGGTCCTACTAATTTTATAGGCTATATATGTTATAATTATTAAATTAATATTATCTTTGTAAGTAAGATAATTCGTAATTAATTAGTACTAATTATAGCCTTATAGCACCTTTAGTCATAAACTTATAGGGAAAACGTAGTGATTATAGAGAGGTATACGTTTAATACGTACGTCAAATATATATTCTTATAACTAAACATTAAAGAACATCTAATACCTAATATTTTTAACTATATATCGTTTAATATACTTAAAAGCGAAAGAGTAAATTATTACCTCTACTAATTAATCTATATATAAGTGAATTACTATCGATTTCATAGCTTAGGTGTAGAAAAAAAGGATTAAGTATGATTATAAATAATACAAAGTTAAATGA